CTGGGCAGGGTTCTTCAGCGTCTGCATTCATGCTGTTCCCTAGCAAGGCAGTGATTGTCCCCCGGAATGGAGACAGGGATGTGGCTGCCCACCATATGGCTGGGTGAGGAAGGGGCTGGAGCAGATTCCTTGTTTCCAGTATTTGGCCAAAAACATACCTGACCTAATTACTGCTCCAAAGAGCATCTGGCTGCCCTTCACAGAGACAGAATTGCCACGGTTCCAGAGCCACAGCAGCCGTGAGGTGTGCAGAGACAAATCAGGATGCTCTTGTATTGGAACTGCACGGACTTGGGAGATAAATGAAAGTGTCCAAGTGGGTACTTCAGCTGTGCCTCCTGGCAGGGGTTGAGCAAGGCCAACTGCCCTCTACATCCTATACCGTTTGGCTTCCCTGGTGACCCCTTCCTTCCCCAGAAGGAACCAGAAGAAGTGGCCGATAGGCTGGACGCCAGTGTGTACAAGTTTCCTGATGGTGGTCTCCTTCAGACCAGAGTTCCATGAACTGATTAGTGTGGAGAAGTCTGCAGGGGTCAGGATGACTCCTGCCCTGCAGCATGCCAGGATGCGTGAGAAGAGTATCTATTACCACACAGCACTAGACACAAAGGGTCCAGTTCAGCTGCCAAGTGCCCGAAAAGCAAATACTCACACTACGTTACTAGCATTTTCCGTTTCCATAGAACTTAAGTCTCCCTGCAAAGCTATTAAAGATAGCAGCATTTTTCCTGTTTGATGAGGGCTGTGGAGTTTGCTTAGCCATCCTGTTGATCCAGAGAGGAAGTCAGAAGTAGAACCAGAATCAGACAGGGTGTCTCACTGTAATCCCAGCACTCCAGAGAGGTGGGGACAGGGGAGGGGGAGGGCAGGACACACTGGGGGGGGGCACCTAGCCTGACTCTCCCTTAAGCAGGAACCAGGAGGTGAGTCTGCCTCAGGAAAGAAACAGCACCAAGTAGACTCAGGTCTCCTGAGTCTCATTCTGAATTATAACTCAATAGCTTTAGCAAGGTGTGACCCACTCCTGAGATCCCAGCACCGGGATAGCTGAGGAAGGCAGACAGAGCTTGAGGCCTTCCCGGGTAAATATTTAGTGAAGACCTGTCTCAGAAAGACCTCGAAAGAAACAAAAACTAAACAGATACTCATGCAAATTATTTGAGTGACACTTTTTCCTTTATGAAATTTTCAAACGTTTCTGTCTTACTGGGGGGGAAATGACTAACGGGCCAGCCTGTTCTTACAACTCCAAACTCTATCTGCTGCCTCTAGCTGGCTCAAAATAGTGACCTCAGACCTGGGTCTTCATTACTAAAATCCTTAGCCCCACCCCAGTTCCCAGGTCCTTCTGACTGGTTGAGAGAAGGACAGAGGGGATGCTGGGCTCGGGAGCTGCAGTGGACAGATATCTGCACAGTGGGCCGCCTTACACCAACTTCAGTGTGCCTGGCAGCATTCAGCCACGTGGAGCACTGTGGCAGACATTCATGGAGATGCATCTGTATGCACACATGGTCCTGACGTGAATTACAGCAGCTGGCAACAGCAGTGTGGGTAGATTTGTGAGTGATACAAGGCAAAGACCAGGTCAACCACTTATGAGCTCAGCCACAAACATTTTATAATCTCAACAAAGTCCAAGAAAAGCCTAAGATAACCAAGCGTACATAATGCTAACAGGTGGAAAGCCAGGGAGCAATTCGTACCTTGTTATAAAGTTTCAAGTAGTTTCCAAAAGAACTTTGCTGCAATGCAGCTGAATTCTGTAAAGAGTTCCAACCTCTAATTTCTAGAGATCATTCAAGCGTCAGCTCAAGGTTGTTCTTAGAATGTCCCTCAGAAAGAAGCAAGGCCTTTTTAAAATGCACTTTTTCTGTTAGCTTACATTCGATGTATAAAATGTCTCCATTATGGCATTTGCTCTCGTGTTTATAAGGTACTTTGATCAAATGTAAAAGAAAAACAAAACTTTTACTTCTCAATGATGAATAGAGAAATAGCCAGGCAGTGGTGGCACACACCCAAGCATAGTAGATCCCTGAATGAGGCCAACATCGTTTACAGAACTAATTCCAGAATACCCAGGGCTATAAAAATCTTGTCTTGAAAAACAAATAAATAATAAAATTTCAAAATAATGAAGTGAACGGAGCATGGTGATGGTTGTGCACGCCTTTAATCCCAACACGTGGGATCACACTGCCTACATCATAAATGGAGCCCTGCGTTCAAGCCCCAGCACTTCAAAGTTGGGTGGGAGGCTGGGAATGGAACAGAGCCCTTATTGAGAGAGCCCTTCCCTGGCATGCAGCTCTGGATTCAGTCTCCAGCACCATACACAAAGAGTTCAAGGACCCCAAAACATTTTACTGAAGATACACAAATGGATAACAACAACAGCAAAAATGCCTGACATCAACTTAGAAAAACAAAATGAGAGACCATTGAGATGGATTTAAAACAAGCAATCCCCACTAGCCAAGCAGTAATACTGTTGAGCTATAGAATCAGAATTCTTGCATACCACAAGAAATGTAAAATGGCACCAACGACTTTAGAAGATGAAACAACAAACAGAAAATCGATTTACTGTACAACCCCTGCAATCCACTTCCGGGTCTATAACCCAAGGGAATTGAAAAGCTATTTGTACCCTTATGTTCACATTTGTACATAAGATGGTAACCCAAACCTGAACTGTATCTAGGAGTCTGTCCATCATCTGATGAATGGGTAATTGGAAGGCGGGATCGTGACCAATGAAAGGAAACACTCAGGCTTGCTGTATGGTGGGTAGATAGCAAGGACATTGTGTGTAGGACAAGACGGCAGTCCCAAAGAGACAACACTGAGATCTGGCTTACTTGAGGTCCTCTATAGAGCCACACAGGAGACCAGAGGGTGCCTGAGAGATGGAGGAGGGGAATGAGTAGTTCTTGTCCAGGATGAGGCCAAGCAGAGCTACACAGGGGAGACCTCGTCTCAAAACCCAATACACGCCTTTAATCCCTGCACGTGGGAGGCAGAGGCATTGGATGTCTGCGTTTGAGGTCAGCCTGGTCTACAGAGTGAATCCCAGGACAGGCTCCAAAGTTACAGAGAAACCCTGTTTAGAAAACCAACTAACCAAACAAACAACAAACACATAAATAAAATAGCCGGGCATGGTGACACTTGCTTTAATTCCAGCACTCGGGAGGCTGAAGCAGGCAGAGCTCTGAGTTGAGGTCATCCTGGTCTATGGTAGTTGATTTCCAGAACAGCCATGGCTACACAGAGAAACCTAACAAACTCTTCTGGCTGCCAGAGGCAGTTACTCTCATTTCCATACTCTGAAACAGACAGATACACATCAACTAAAATAATTAAAATAGTCCTGGAAGAGCATCTTAATGTACTTGCTAGCCCAATAATGCGTGCTTACCTTCCCTCTTCCCAGACAGCTAGGCCAAAGTTCCTCTAGGCAGATAGCTATTTTCTCCAAAGTAGAGCTTTCTAGATCAGAATGAATACCTGCAAAAAAACGCAAAGATCACTGGGCCGTGGTGGTGCATGCCTTTAATCCTAGCCCTAAGGACTCAGAGGCAGGCACAGCTCTGTGAGTGTGAGGCCAGCCTGGTCTACAAAAGAGCAAATTCCAGGACAGTCTCCTAAGCAACAGAGAAACCCTGTCTCAAATGAAAGACCCCCGGTGGGGAGACTCTCACTCAAGTCTCGGGATAACACGACCCCTCCACCAGTAACTCACGAGAGACCTTCCTTGCTGCAATCACACGAGGTTTGTTGATAGGAGCCAGTGCACTGGGGCTAAGACTCATAACCCACTCAGGGGAGGAGTTCGACCCCAGTAACTGGGAGAAGGAGTTTTTAAGGGAACAAAGCACAGTTCAGTAATCCGAAGTGGGTAGGGAGGGCGTCATAGAAAATTCCGAAAATCCAGTGATGATCACAAGGGGGCAACTCCCTGTTTCTCAAGATTATTCTCAAGATTACAATCTAACTTTATCTTCAGCTAGTTCCTGAAACAGTCACTGAACCGGCTAATCCTAGATTTCTGATTCTTCTCTCCCTGCTTAGATTTTTTGGCTCTATTTTTTCCTGCTAGGGGGATCTGGATTTATCCAGGTCTTTCAAAAGAATCAAAAAAAAGGGAGGAAAAAACCAACCAACCAACCAACCAACAAACAAAAAACCTCTATGATGGACGAAACCGTCTCGAAAAACCAAAAAAAAAAAAAAAAAAAAAAGGGAAAAAAAAAACAAAAAAGCAAAAAAACAAGGAGGGATATCTGGGGCAACAGTACCCACTCTGGTCTCTGTCCTTCCAGTCCCCTGCACAGCACAACTGAAACAATTATTTTCTAGGCCGGGTATGGTTAAAGTGGCCTTTGATGTCAGCCCAAGGAAGGCAGAGGTAGGGGGATTTCTGTCGGTTATTTATGTTTTTCAAACACTACCTGTCTACACAACCCTGCCTATCCTGGAATTTCTTGTGTGGATCAGTCTGGTTTTGATCCCCAGTGCTGGGATTAAGGGTGTGTGCCACCATGACAGGCTTTGTTTTATTATTTTAAATTATTATTACAGAAATAATTGCTGAAACTCTGTATGTAGATCAGGTTGCTCTTGAAATCAGAGATCTAGAGGCCGGCAGAGATGGCTCGGCGGTTAAGAGCACTGACTGTTCTTCCAGAATATCCTGCTTCAATTCCCAGCACCCACACCGCAGCTCATAAGTGCCTGTAAATCCAGTTCCAGGGTGATCTGACACCTTCACACCACTGCCTTTAATAAATACATCACAAAAAAAAATCTTTAAAAAAAGAAAAACCAAAGGTAAAAAAGTAAAGATCCTATTTCCTGGGTTGCAGCACGGTCGCTTCGGGAGCCGCCAGTTACCGCCCTGCCATGGCCAAGTTCAAGAACTACACCACACACAACCAGTCCCGAAAATGGCACAGAAATGGCATCAAGAAACCCCGGTCACAAAGATACGAATCTTTCAAGGGGGTCGACCCCAAGTTCCTGAGGAACATGCCCTTTGCCAAGAAGCACAACAAGAAAGGCCTGAAGACGCAGGCAAATAATGCAAAGGCCATGAGCGCACGTGCGGAAGCCATCAAGGCCCCAGGTGATGAAACCCAAGATGCCAAAGGGCCCCAGACTCAAACTCACCCGTCTTGCTTTCATTGCTCACTTATTCCGACGTTGTTTTATTATTTTAAATTATTATTACTATTTTGAGATAGGCACTGGCTAGCCTGAAACTCCGCACGTAGTTCAGGTTGGTCTTGAAACCAGAGATCTGCCTGCCTCTGTCTCCAGGTCATGGGACTTGAGGCGTGTGGGAACACGAACACACTCTACTCCTGATAGCGACCTGCCCTGGCATTTTATACGCCCTTGAATCCTGCTTAAGGGTTTGGCAATGGCCACAGTTCAGAAAGGCAGTCGCGGCGAGTCACGCCACTGTCTCCTGTACAGTCCGCGTTTGTCTGGTGGAGGACAGGCCCTGGTGCTCAGCAAATGAGCCCCTAAATAACAGGACCCCTTCAAATGCTTCTGCCTTACTACTCCCCGTTAGCCGAGCCCCCGACTTTCTAGCGTTTCTGACCTACCCAGCCTCAGAACTTCCAGTCCAAGGTGACAACCCTTCCCAATGAGATTCGAGGCCCAGACTCACCGAAGAAGAATCAGGACGTAGCCCTCAGGCCGTACCCACTGACAGAGACGCTAAAGGTGGACTGGGAGAAAGAAACCCACTCACAGAATAGAGCTGGCCTTGGCTTTTATAGTGCCTAGATTTTGGCCACACCCTTTAGGGGAGGAACTTGGCTCAGCAAGGATCTACCTATCAAGCTTATGGGATTGAGGGAAGGGAAGGAAGTGTAGAAGTTCTCAACCTATGGATCTGAACTCAGGAAGCAGAGGCTTGCGAATCTCTGTGAACTGGAGAGCAGTCTGGTCTTCAAAGTGAGTTTTAGGACAGCCAGAGCTGTTACTCAGAGAAATCCTCTCTGAAAAAAAAAAATAACAAAAAAGAAAAACCCTTGGCTCTCCCAAAAAGCTATTTGGTGTCCTCTACTGCTATGTCACTGACCTTGCTTCCCAACCAACGGCCCTAAGACTAGTGGGGCCTATTTATATTATGATGACATAGCCCTACCTGGTGCTACTACCTGAGACTCCATGGGAAAGAACTGGGCAGCTCAAACTCGGGGGTTGTGGAGGACACCAGAGGGAAAGGTCATTCTCCCAGAGACAACAGGCAGGGTCTGGGGTCCACGAAACTTTCTGAGTTGCTCAGACCAAGGTATGCTTGGTCTGAGCAACTCAGGTATGCTTGGTAGCATACCAACCAAGCATAAACACCAAGCATACCAACCAAGCATACCAACCAAGCATAAGCAACCAAGGTATGCTTGGTAGACTGACCAGCCTACTGTGGGATGTCCCAGCCAGATGTCAGGTTTGTACTCAAGTCAATTCAAAACAGAGAGCCCTTCCCAGGAAGGAGCGTAAATGAGAGATCAACTCCTTAGCGAGCTCTGGGAAAACTGACTTCACGGAGATCGGCCTTGTCTTGTAGATACCTCTTCCAGGTTTCTAGAAGCGCTCTCCACCAGGACTGGAACTGCTCGAACAGTACCTTGAAAGCTCCAGAAACTGGTCCCCTGATTTGGCCTCCCCCTAGAAATGAGGTCCGACAGTGACCTGGCTTTCATAGCCAAAATCTCTCAATTAATGGACTAAAGCTTTCGACAAATATTGGAAACTTCATTGTGCCTATAGAGGTCAGAGTTCTGGGCAGGTAGAAAAAAAAAATAGAACATTAAAAGAAACTCAAAACTCTCCTTAGGGTCCAACTTCGGGCCTGTTGCACCCCATGTGTGCGGTGGGGGGGCACACATTTACCTCCTGTGACACTATGTTTGGAAGCTCTGCCCCACTGCTTCCCTGGCTCAGAGAGCTGCTGCTGGAAAAACCCCCAAGCCATTTCTTCCCTGAGTCCCTGTAGGCCCTCCAGTCCTCCACAAATGCTATCCACTGGACTGTCAGAGGGACCCAGCTGACCTCTGAGACCACTCAGTTTCCGCTGCTTGACTCTGTGGCCCCATTTTGTTCAAGCTGATAGTCAATGGGGCACGGGAAGAAACTGGGAAAAGACCCTACATGGAGATTCTCCCCACTCCTATGGCTGTGACAATAGCTGGCATTACACCATGGATCCACTACAACCAGGTCAAGTAAGCTGAAGCCGCGGATGTCACTGCCGCAGGGACTGTCTCCCAGACTACGGGCCCATTCGTGTTAAGGTTTCATTGGAACCCCAGACCCTTCCACTCCCTGCCTCTCTACCTCCTTCTGAATCTTGTGTTTTATCCCAAGGGGTATGAGTCTAGAGGGTCATGGTCCAACCCCCACCACCCTCAGGCCTGGACTGGAAACTGAGGAAGACAGAAACAGGGAAGGTATTAGCTAGTGTGACTGCAGACCAGAACCCATATTTTTCTTGACCTTTGCTTGCTGGTGCCCACTTTAAATGTCTGATTCTCATGGAGAGAGGAAAGATGTGAGAGTTTGTCTCTTGAAATAGAAATACAGAGCTGGGTGGTGGTGGCTCATGCCTTTAATCCCAGGCAGAAGAAGGCAGATATCTGAGTTCAAGGCCAACCTGGTCTACCAGAGCTAGTTCCAGGACAGGCTCCAAAGCTAAAGAGAAACCTTGTCTCAAAAAACAAACAAACAAACAAAAAAGTAGAAAGAAAGATTCTGACCTTTGGAAAATAGGAAAAACCTAGGATTCAGACCCTATATATACCACCTGGGGATATAGTTAATGATTCCCAGCCAGAAATCAGCTGAAATTGCTAGTTATGCTTAGACATCGGCTTCCTATAGTACATAGGAATAGGATCTAACCAGACTATCAGCTCATAGATCATCAAGATGCAGTAGGCCTGGGGGCAGTCCAAATTAGCATTAAAGACTTGGAACAGGCTGAAACTTTTAACCTAAACTCCCCCTTATTCTGAGGTCTGCTATTCTGCTTTGTTGGTTAACTCATTCAGACAACAGCGATATTTCTGAGCCCCTGAGACTACTTGGTGGGTGTGGTGACTCAATGTGCCTCTTCTGATGCTTTCCAAACTAAATAGACAGGTTGATCAGGACCTAGAGGTATTAGATGTTTTCAACAGTTAGATTCCCTTACAGAAATGGTCCTACAAAAGCAGAGAGGCTCAGACTTCCTTCTTAAGAGATAAGATGACTGCGCATGGCTTTGGGAAAAACTTGTTTCTGTACTAATTGATCATGGGTAATTAGAGAAAAATCTTGCCATGTTAGAGGAAAGCCTCAAACAGAGAAAGAGACAAAAGCATGAATTAGACAACTGGTACCACCCTCTGTTCTTTTGGTCCCCCTGGCTCTACTCTCAGCAGTGGCTGGGCCTTTTCTTCTCATTGTGATTGGATTAATGGCCGGGTCCTGCATCTTAAACTATATGGCCAATTATGTATCAGTTCAGTAAAGTTAATGGCCCTTAGCCCCATCTACACCTCTTTTTTTATTGATTTTTATTGAGCTCTACATTTTTCTCTGCTTCCCTCCCTGTCTCTCCCCTCCCCTTAAACCCTCTCCCAAGGTCCCCATGCTTCCAGTTTACTCAGGAGATCTTGTCTTTTCCTACTTCCCCCATCTACACCTCTTTAAAGCAGGTTAAGTCCATGATTTGAGTCATTCACTAAGACCAGTGTGGAATATAGCAGGGCTCAGGTCTGAGCAGACTTCTCTGGTGGATAGCCCACAACAGTTTCCAAGGCTCCCTGCTAGCCTAAGAAGCAGCATTAGTCCAGGGTGTAAACCCCAGGCTAGGGGGCTCTGCAGGGACAAGCCCATGCTATCCTCGTATGGAGGATCCAAATTGAATTCTCAGCACTGACATTGGGCAACTCATAAGTACCTATAATTCCAGCTCTGGGGACCCAGTTCCCTATTCTGGACTTGAAGAATAACTGCATTCACACATGCATATATCCATACAGAAACATAAATACTCTCACAATTGAAAATAAATAGCCAGGGCTGGGCGGTGGTAGCACACACCTTTAATTGCCAGCAGAGGCAGGCGGACCTCTGTGAGTTCAAGGTCAACCTGGTCTATAAGAGCTAATTCTTATAGGGCAGGCTCCAAAGCTACAGAGTAACCCTGTCTCAAAAAAACAAGAAGAAGAAGAAAAAAAAACCCTTACAATCTTAAACGGAAAACAACCTAAAACAGATTGCCACGTGGAACTTAAGAGGTACAGGTTTAAAACTCAGAGAGGCAGGAAGCCTACTGAGAGCCATTACAGCCCTGAGAAGTGTCAAAGTGCAAAGCCCTTTTGGGAGGACTTTGGGGTGCCAACAAACAGTCCCTTCCATAGTAAGTCTGCGGGTCACCCATGGATTGGCAGGCCTCAGAGCTGGGAGAAGCTGCAGGAGTGAAGTCACCAGGACAGCCCGAGTGCAGAACCACGGAGGCTGAGGTGAGTAGGTGTCCCAGCTTCTGCAGTCCCTGCTTAAGTTCTGCAGGAGGGCTCAAGTGAGCTTCCTGTCCCGGGCAGAAGCCCCAGCCCAGGGAGCCCCTGCTAAGGTTGTCCCTGGCAAGTCTTGAAAGACAGACAATCTTCCTTCTCTCAGGAGTGAGCCTGCTGGGGATCAGGCCCGGGAGTCTTCTTTCAGGCTTCCTCAAATCAGCAGGAGTGTCTGGGGTAGTGGCCCAGTCAGAGATGGGAGCTGGGCCCTGAAGTCTGGTTTCTCTTCTCTGCCAGTTGTATTCTAAAATAATTCTGCTCCCATCTTGTGCTCAGAAGCCTGAGTTTTCAGGGTGCCAGTCGGAATGGAACGGTACCAATGGAGGAGAAAGCTGGACCAATTCGGGAAGCACTGCCAAACTTGGTGGTTGAGGAGGACCCTGAGCCCACCAAAAGTTACTAAAAGATACCACAGGTATCTGTCACCGCAGAAGTAGGGAAACTTGTAAAACAGTTTCTGTCCATCTGATGCTGCCTCAGGACCTTTGCAGGTGGGTGGGGAATTTCTGTGAGCTGTTTTTTTTTTTTTTGTTTGTTTGTTTGTTTGGTTGGTTTTTGGTTTTTGTTTTGTTTTGCTTTGTTTTGTTTTTTCTCTGCCTCCCAAGTCCTGGAATTAAAAGCGTGCACCACCACCGCCTGACTTTATTCTGGCTGATGCTTTTTTGTTGTTGTTGTTTGTTTGCTTCTTTATCTGCAGCTGACTTGTCCTGGAGGCATGGGCCTCAGCTGTTAAGTGGCTTCGGAAAGCTCCATTGGAGAGGGGCCCATCTATCCTTGACACTTTTGTCCACCCTGACACCTTCAGAAATTCTGCTTTCTCATCTTTCCCTGGAGCAAGTTGATCCTTAGGGAGATGTTTTGGTGTTGCATAACAGAGTGTAGGGATGTTTTGGGTTCACATTAATAAGATGACTGCCCTGGGCATGATGGCACATTCCTATAATACCAGAAT